TATATATATATATATGTTCCTCTCTCTCTCCGTCTCTGTCTCTGTCTCTCTCTTTGGCGGCGCGTTGGGCCTCGGCACAACCCGCGGAGAATCTTAACGCCATCGACATCCCCTCGCACGGAAGCAAAGCAACGCAACAGCGACATCACAACTCAAGGAGAGAGAAATCCGAGTACACCCGCCAACACCAACCGCAACAGCAACACAATCATTCGCCATGACGGACTACAAGGTGCGCGACATCAGCCTTGCTGAGTGGGGCCGCAAGGCGATCGACATCGCGGAGAACGAGATGCCCGGCCTCATGGAGCTGCGCCGCGAGTACGGCCCGCTGAAGCCGCTCAAGGGCGCCAGGATCGCCGGCTGCCTGCACATGACGGTGCAGACGGCGGTGCTCATTGAGACGCTCGTCGAGCTCGGCGCGGAGGTGCGCTGGTGCTCGTGCAACATCTTCTCCACGCAGGACAATGCCGCTGCGGCGATCGCCAAGAGCGGCGTGCCCGTCTTCGCGTGGAAGGGCGAGACGGATGAGGAGTACCAGTGGTGCATCGAGCAGGCAGTGAAGGGCTTCAGCGGCGATGGCTGCCCCAACATGATCCTCGACGATGGCGGCGACCTGACGAACTACATCATCGACGAGCGCCCCGAGATCGCGGCGAAGATCTACGGCATCTCGGAGGAGACGACGACGGGCGTGAAGAACCTGTACAAGCGCCTGCAGCGCGGCCAGCTGCCCATCCCCGCCATCAACGTTAACGACAGCGTGACGAAGAGCAAGTTCGACAACCTCTACGGCTGCCGCGAGTCGCTCGTCGACGGCATCAAGCGCGCGACGGATGTGATGATCGCCGGCAAGACGGCGTGCGTGTGCGGCTACGGCGACGTGGGCAAGGGCTGCTCCGCCGCGCTGCGTGCCTTCGGCGCCCGCGTCGTCGTGACGGAGGTCGACCCGATCAACGCGCTGCAGGCCGCGATGGAGGGCTACCAGGTGGTGCTGCTCGAGGACATCGTGGAGCAGGCGCACATCTTCGTCACGACGACCGGCAACGATGACATCGTCACATCGGAGCACTTCCCCCGCATGCGCGACGACGCGATTGTGTGCAACATCGGCCACTTCGACACGGAGATCCAGGTGTCGTGGCTCAAGGCGAACGCGAAGGAGCGCGTGGAGGTGAAGCCGCAGGTCGACCGCTACACGATGCACAACGGCCGCCACATCATCCTGCTCGCGGAGGGCCGCCTCGTCAACTTGGGCTGCGCCAGCGGCCACCCGTCCTTCGTCATGTCGAACTCCTTCTGCAACCAGGTGCTCGCGCAGATTGAGCTCTGGACGCAGCGCGACAGCGGCAAGTACCCTCGCGGCGACAAGGCGCAGGTGTACTTCCTCCCCAAGAAGCTGGACGAGAAGGTGGCCGCGCTCCACCTCAGCAAGCTCGGCGCGAAGCTGACGAAGCTCACAGCGAAGCAGGCGGAGTACATCAACTGCCCAGTGGACGGCCCCTTCAAGGCGGAGCACTACCGCTACTGATCCTCTTTGCTTGCTTGCTTGTTTGGGCGCCTCTCTCTCTCTCTCTCTCTCCCCCGTCTGTGCGTCTGTGCGGGCGCGGAGGCACATACACACGCACACACGCGTAACGGGAAACATCGGCAGCACATTGCGCACGCGAGGATGAACGAGAAAATAATAAAACGGCAGGACAATCAATGCACAGACTGTTCTATTTTTTTTTTTGTTCTTTGCTTCTTCTGTTGTTTACGCTTCATGCGGTGTGGGGACTATTTTTCAAAGGCCCTCGCGCATGGCCGTGTTGCGGCCGACGTCACAAAGCCGCCTGTGAGGCGGGGAGGCCCGGAAGACGATGATGATAACAGGGTGGAGCGGGGAAAGACACCACACAAAGGAAAAAAAAAAGAAACCAACAAACAAACAATTAAGAAATAGGTACAAGAGCAAAAAAACAAAAAAAAAAAAGAAACAAAACAAAGAGAGAATAATCATTGGGGGTAATATATATATTTACATACGCTTCGCGTCCCGTCTNAAAAAAAAAAAGAAACAAAACAAAGAGAGAATAATCATTGGGGGTAATATATATATTTACATACGCTTCGCGTCCCGTCTGTGCCCTCGAATGAGACACGCACGCAGGCGCACACACTGACACATGCCAATTCTCGCTTCCCATGCTGTGCTCTCTTGCTCCGCCGTTGAATGGTGCTCCCTTTTCTCTCCCCCTCTTGCTCTGCCATCGCTTCCTGTTCTGAGCTGCACTGTCTAGAAATGCTGAGCGCCGTGGTGCCTGCCCTCGTGCTGCTGCTGGTGGCAGTCGCCGCGTTCTCGGGCGCAGTGACTATCGCGAGTGGCGGNTGCCCTCGTGCTGCTGCTGGTGGCAGTCGCCGCGTTCTCGGGCGCAGTGACTATCGCGAGTGGCGGCTTCATCCGCATGGCGCTGGGCGCCCTCGTCGTGGCGCTGTTCGTCTCGGTCGCCCTTTCCTCGTGTGCGGCGGTGCTGTTGGAGGCGTCTAGCGGCTTTTCATCCGACATCTTCGCCGTGGCCTTCGTGCGGGCCGTGCTGGCGGCCATTGCGCAGCCGACGATCACCGGTATTGCGCTGCTCGCCGTGCTGGTCGTTGGCGCTGCGAGTGCTGCGCGTGTGGGCGGGCTGGTGGAGGACATTCAGATCCTGCTCGACGCACACAAGGCGGTTGTGGAGGACAATAACTCCCCAGCCCCGGCGACGTTGGACCCACACCCGCGCAAACCGCATTCGTAGCCGTTTGTCTCTGTCTCTCCCTGTGTGTGTGTGTGTGTGAGCCTGTGCCTGGGCGACTCTTTTCGTCTCTCGCCTTGCTGCTCCTGCAGAGACGCAAGCGGCGGAGCATTCCTATCCCTGTCTGCCAGCTGTGCCCTCAATTGCCGCTCTCTTCTTGCTGTGCACCTGAATCAAAACCAAAGCACATAGGGCGTAAATACAGGAAGGGTGGCCAGATGGACAGCCTGTACCTCCTCAGCAAGGCGCAGTTCCACCAGCTGGCGACGCACATCTCCCTCTACCACGAGGACGCGTCGCCCGGCTACCGCGCACTCGGTGAGGAGTGTGTGCGGCTCGCCGGCCTCAGCCCCGACCGCCACGTCTACTGGAACGTGCCCAACATGAGCTCCTTCTTCGGCAAGACGGTGCCGCTCGATGTGCACGGAGGCTACGTGCTGGTCGACGAGAGCGCCGCGGGGCGGGCCGCGACGAGCTACGGCATGCTGCGCTACGCCTACCTATCGGCGGCGGTGCGCACGAAGGAGGGTGGCCGCTGGCGCTACGACTTCATGACGATGAATGTCACGCTTGGCGTCGGTGTCGCGAGCGGATTCGCCGCCCTCTCTGCTGGCAGGAAGCGGTGGGGGTGGATGCGGCGCCACCCGGTCGGCAGCGTTGCCGTCAGCCTGCTCACATGCGTCGCCGCCACGGTGGCGTCGCGGCAGGCGATCCGCCTCCTCGGCATCGGCGTCGTGACGGCGCGGAACAGCCACAAGAAGGCGCTGGCAAAGCTGGACTGCGCCGACTGCTACGACGACGTCAACCTGTACACCGCGCAGCAGGTGGAAGAGCTGCGCAAGCAGGAGTTCCCGCAGCAGCCGGGGATGCCGGCGCCGCCCGAAGAATTCGTGAAGCGCTTCGAGCGGGGCAAGGAGGTGCAGGTGAAGCTGCTCGAGGTAGACATGGAGGAGGTGGGGGCGTCGAAGCGGCGCGTCGGCACTCGCCTTTGCGACGTGCACCGCTGCCTCCGCGAGGACGAGAAGTACGCTGAGACGGTGGCGCTGCCAATCCTCCCCGCGGATATTCAGCGCGCCCGGGAGAGGGCGCGCGAGGCTGAAGTGGAGACAAAGACAGACTGAGTCCGTGTAGCGAATCCAACACAAGAACAGAGCCCGAGGTGGTGGTGGTGGTGGGGAAGGTGGGAGGGTCTCGTCTCCGCAGGGCGCGGTGGGGTGAGGTGCCTGTCGCTTTTCCCTCCCCACCATGACGCTTCCCTCCCAATGTCTCTCCCTCTCCCCTCATTTTTTCGCCCCTTCTCTCTCTCATTCTCATTCTCATTCTCGCTCTCGCTCTCTTATTTATTCCCCGCCTGTGCTCCAAAAGGGGGGGGGTGGGAGGTGAAGGACTATGTCAGCGAAGAGGACGTTCGATGTCCTCGTCCTCGGCGCGGGGGCGGCGGGCTGCGCGGCTGCGCGTGCCATTGCGCTCAAGTACCCCAACGCGGCGGTCGGCCTCGTGGAACAGGGGACGCGGCGACCTCTGCCGCTGGCGATGCGTGTTCCACTGCTGACGCCGCTCATCGCGTCGCTGCGCAGCACGCGGGGGTTCCTGCGCACGTATTGTTGTGCGCCGGAGAGTAGCATTGGTGGGCGGCAGCTCACGTACGTGAGGGGCTGCGGTCTCGGAGGCAGTAGCTCGTGCAATGACATGAAGTATCTGCGCGGCACCGTTGCCGACTACGAGGCGTGGCGCGATCCGTCGTGGACATTTGAACAAATGCTGCCTTTCTTCCGCGGCCTCGAGTGCAACTCGCGGGGTTGCTCGTCCACGCTCCATGGGGACGGCNGCCCCCTCGCCGTCACGGATGCCCCGTGGGCGAACATCAACTCGGAGCTGAACATCCGCTGGTTCGAGTCGTGTGAGGCGATGGGCATCCCCCAGACGGACGACTTCAACACTGGCGTGGCAGACGGCTTCTCTGCGTTCCAGTCGCACATCGCAAAGGGTGTGCGCGTGGACGTCTTTGAGGCGCTTCTGGAGGCGGATCGGCACCTTCTGCCGAATCTGACCGTCATGTCGGGGACGACGGCGCAGCGGATTCTGTTCGACGGGCGCCAAGCGGCAGGCGTCGAGACGCGGCAGGGAGGCGATGTGGCAGTGCTGCCAACCCGCTGCGTTGTGTTGTGCTTGGGGGCGCTTGAGTCCCCGGCGCTGCTGCTGCGCAGCGGCGTGGGCGCCGGTGGCGCTGTTGCCGAGCTCCCCGACGTCGGGCAGAACCTCATCCAGCCCACCTGCGCAACGATCGTGTTCGGCGTCAGCCGCAACGCCAACCTGCACA